GCTGAGGGACTTGGGCCTCTTTAGTCTAGAGAAAAGAAGATTGAGGGGGGATCTTATTAACACAAATACTTGAAGGGAGGGTGCCAGGGGGATGGGAACAGTCTTTTTTCAGTGGTGCCCAGTGATAGGACGAGGGGTAATGGGCATAAACTTGAACGTAGGAAGTTCCATCTTAACATGAGAAGGAACTTCTTTACTTTGAGGGTAGTGGAGCACTGGAACAGGCTGCCCAGAGAGGTGGGGGAATCTCCCACTCTGGAGACATTCAAAACCCGCCTGGACGCTGTCCTGTGCAACCCCTGTTGTAGGTGCCCCTGCTCTGGTGGGGGGTGGGACTAGATGATCTCCAGAGGTCCCTTCCAACCCTGACCATTCTGTGATTCTGTGATATTGGCCACGTCTCTGCAAAACCCACTTTGGAGGCAACTCCTGATCCCACAGCCCTTCCGGACACGAGCAGGATGGTCAACACTCACTGGTCAACGCTCTTCGCTATGGAGGCCATGATGAAGAGAACAGCTTCCGTCACCTCCCAGGGTGGATTCCCGTCCTTCAGAGTCGCGTAAAGCTGCAAAAAAGAGAATCAGTCGCAAAAGGAGCTCCGAACAGAGCTCGGGGCCACGCGGTCACGAACCCCCTCCCGCTGCGAGATCACCACTCCGCTCCTCACCTCCTCCGACACCTGAAACACCCGGCGTGGACCCGCAGGAACCCCCACGTTCCACAGACCACCCCGCTGTTTTTTTGGGGGCCAGAATACCATTCCCCAAAGCGTGAGACCTTCGGCTTCTCCCCAAACAGTCCCCACCACTGACGAGCCACGGTCGCCGCCTCTTGCAGGAGGAGACGACGCTTGTGACCTCCTCCCCACCCCAAAGGTCATCGGGGCTTGGCCACCTCCCACACAGCGATGGATGCGGGTCTTCCCGGGGAAACCCACCTGAGCGAAACACTCCACCGATCCCACCAGGAAGATGAGGTCTTTCACCAGGTCCGAGACCCGCATGCGGAACTCCCCAAAGTCGTCCGTCTCTTCTGGGACGCCCTCCTAACGGAGATTGGGGAGAGCAAAAGGGTGAGAAATCCAGATTCCCGTTCACCCGCAGCCAGGAGAAGACACGGGATTCCGTTTGAGAGGAGAGATCTATCCTTCCTGCCCTCCTCTCCCCAGATGAGGCCACCAAAGGGGATTCGGAGGAGAACTGCGGACGGAGAAAACGCTAACGGCCTGGATGCACGCTGCGTGCTCCTGCTCTGACACGCAGAAGAAGGGATGGAGATGAAGGGGATGAGGAGCACAGGTGGAGATGGAAGAAGGATGAAGTGTCCCAGCCTTCGAGGAGGAGGAGGAGGAGCAGGAGGAGGAATCATGGAATCATAGAATGATTTAGGTTGGAAGGGACCTTGAAGATCATCCAGTTCCAACCCCCCTGCCATGGGCAGGGACACCTCCCCCCAGCCCAGGTTGCTCCGAGCCCCGTCCAACCTGGCCTTGAACACCTCCAGGGATGGGGCAGCCACAGCTTCTCGGGGCAACCTGTGTCAGTGCCCAAAGGAGGAGGGAGGAAGGAGGAGGGAGGAGGAGGAAGGAAAGGGAGGAGGAGGAAGGAAGGGGAGGAGGAGGAAGGAAAGGGAGGAGGAGGAAGGAAGGGGAGGAGGAGGAAGGAAGGGGAGGAGGAGGAAGGAAGGGGGAAGGAGGGAAAAAGGGAAAAAAGGAGGGGGGAGGAAGGAAGGGAGGGAAGAAGGGAGGGAGGAATGGAGGGAAGAAAGGAGGGAGGAATGGAGGGACGGAGGAAGGAAGGAGGGAGGAAGGAAGGAGGGAAAAAGGGAAAAAAGGAGGGGGGAGGAAGGAAGGGAGGGAAGAAGGGAGGGAGGAATGGAGGGAAGAAAGGAGGGAGGAATGGAGGGACGGAGGAAGGAAGGAGGGAGGAAGGAAGGAGGGAAAAAGGGAAAAAAGGAGGGGGGAGGAAGGAAGGGAGGGAAGAAGGGAGGGAGGAATGGAGGGAAGAAGGGAGGGAGGAATGGAGGGAGGGAGGAAGGAAGGAGGGAGGAAGGAAGGAGGGAGGAAGGAAGGAGGGAGGAAGGAGGAGGGAGGAAGGAGGAGAAGGAGAACCGCCTGGGGTGGGGGGCGGTGGGAGAGGGTCATCCCGCAGCCACGAGAGGCCAGAAAGCTCTGTTAGAACAAGAGCCGACTTAACGACAATTACAGCCATTCTAATTGCTCTCAGTCCTCTCTCCGCAATTCCTGCAACTGCCAAACCATTTCCCGTAGAGCCCTCGGAGCTCCGGAGAGCGACCAGCGGGGAGGACGGACGCATCCTACCGCCCCCGAGGACCCATCCTACCTCCGGAGGAAAGAAAGCGAACGCGGTCCTTACGTGGTCCGAGTCAAGCTGGCAGTGTCTGGCCAGAGCGTGGAGAAGGCGCTGGATGTAGGCTTTGAAGATGCTGTGGATGACGGCATCGTCTGTCTTGTAGAGGTGCTCCCCCAGTCTGTACCAGAAGTTAAATGAAATTTCTACCACCTGGTTAGAAAGAGAAATTCAGCGCCTTGTTAGCAACACAGCAGTGATTTGATTTTATTTTAGTTTAGTTTTTTGCTCCACTCTGCTGGTGCTGCCGATGGAGAAACCTTCTCCGGGGGTGGCCACGGCGAGCGTGGTGGGGTAGCAGAGGTTTCCCTCGGCGCTGCTTCACCGTGCGATGATGAAACGTGGACCGACTCCCTCCAGCTTCACCGATCTCCGCTGGCTCGTCACTTAATAAGGGATTTGAAACCCGCTGAGCTGAGCTGCAAACCCGTCACCGGCCCTCGGACGTGAAGCCCCTTCTCCGCCAAAAACCAACGTTAAAGCCCGAAGAACCGTCTCTTGCTTCAAAAGCTTCGGCGCCTCGTTTCGCACCAGTCAAACCTGCCGGACGTTGCGCTTCTTCTACCTCCCTCACCGCCACCCGGTTCCTGCTCTGCCCTCGCTCACGCAGCGGGAGGTGTTGAATTCCCGGCTCGTCCCAACCAGCCCCCAGGGGCGTTTCGCTGCTTGTGGGTAACGCTGCCATCACCAGAGCCCCGTCGGTGGAAGAGTTTGTCCAACTGGACATCCCCACCGCCTCTGCTCGGCAATTAAGTGGTCTAACCATCCCAGCGGTCACCTCGGGGCGCACGCAGAGCTAACGGTGCGAGGGGACGGCAACCCCCGAGAGGAGCAAGAAAGGAGATGTTGCTCCAAAGGCTACGGCCTCTTTATAATCAGTTATCGCAGAAGAAAAACGAGTGCGGATTTTTTTTCGGGGGAGCAGCTGCGGAGTTTCCCTTCCTCCTAAGCATCGCTGGCACAGGACACGGTCGACGCTCAAGGGAGACGGAGCTCCACGGACCTGGAAAGGGGACTAAAGGAGTCACCGAGTCCCACGCGAGCGGCGCGGAGACCTGACGAAGCACAACTGCTCCACAATTTCCACGGCCAACAAGCTGCACCGCAGCAGCCGCCCCGTTCCTCAGCTAACTCGCACGCCCGTTCTTGGGGTTGAGGTACTTTCCAGCTCTGAAAGCTTTTGGAAAACCCACTCCTGGAGAACGTGGTAGCTCATTCCACGGTTTGGGTTGGAAGAGACCTTGAAGATCATTGAGATCCACCCCTTGCCCTGGGCTGGGACACCTCCCACCAGCCCAGGTTGCTCCAAGCCCCATCCAACCTGGCCTTGAACACCTCCAGGGATGGGGCAGCCACGGCTTCTCCGGTTAACAACCACCGGGGCACGAATAAACGGGGGGTTGAAAAGGAGACGGCATCTTAAACGCGGTGTTGTGTACTTCAGGCAGGACGGTCGGGGAGCTTTGATGCAAAACAGCGTTTCGCTTACTCGGAGGGTGAAGTCACCGAATCCCAGACTGGTGGGGGCTGGAAGGGCCCTCTGGAGATCATCCAGTCCCACCCCCTGCCAGAGCAGGGGCACCTCCAGCAGTTGCACAGGACGGCGTCCAGGCGGGTTTGGAATGGCTCCAGAGGGGGAGACTCCCCCACCTCTCTGGGCAGCCTGTGCCACTGCTCTGCCGCCCTCACAGCAGAGAAGGCCCTCCTCAGGTGGAGATGGAACTGCCTATGGTCACGTTTGTGCCCGTTCCCTCTTGTCCTGTCACTGGGCACCACTGGAAACAGACTGTTCCCATCCCCCGGCACCTCCCTTGAAGGATTTATCAGCTTTGATGAGATCCCCCTCAGTCTTCTCTTCTCCAGACTCAACAGCCCCAAGTCCCTCAGCCTTTCCTCATCAGAGAGATGCTCCACTCCCCTCATCATCTTTGTAGCTCTTTGCTGGACCCTCTCCAGCAGTTCCCTGTCCTTCTCGACCCGGGGAGCCCCAAACTGGACACAGCGCTCCAGATGTGGCCTCACCGGGGCAGAGCAGAGGGGGAGGATGACCTCCCTCCACCCGCTGGCCACGAGTCACCGTGAGCGACGCCGCAAAGCTCAACTCAAGTTGAAGACGCGGCGGCAAAGACAATAACGGGAGGAGTTGGGAGCTGCCCTGGCAGCCCCACGCGCTCAGCAGAGGGAAGCCAACGCAGATCTCCCCATCCCCAAGGCAGAGCGGGCGCCCCAAGGTCAGCAGCTCGGGGAGAACCAACACCTCCCAACCACGTGGTGATCCCAGAGAAAGGGTTTGTTTGGTTTTTTTTTTCCCCTCCACTGCCTCATCTCTGGAGGAGGGAGATTCGACACCCGGGGCGAGGAAGGGGAAAGGCGGGCAGAGCTCACTCACCTCGTACTGCGGGTGACCCGCACATATCAGCAGCAGCTCCAGCGTCCGCAGGTCGCCCAGCCCTTGGCCCGGCGTACAAACGATTTTATCTAGGAACGTCTCGCACAGCTCGGTGAAAACACGGCAATAATTGAGCACCCTGGTGAGGGAGGGGGGAAAAAAAAAAAAAAAAAGGGCAGGAGTCAGAAAGATCCTCCGGGAGGGGATCGGGGACACCAACACGGGGGAGACGTGGTGCGAGCAGGTTAACGTTCCCCAGAGCCTCATCTCACACCAAGAAACACCAACTTCTGCTCGAGCTTTGGTTGGGAAACAACGTAAATAGGGGAACTTGGCTTCGTTCCCAAGCCGGTGAAAACGCCTCCTTGCCAATAAGCAAAGTTGACGGCGTCTTTCCTATTTACCCGCAGCCGGCGAGAAAACTTCTCCCAACTTCTCCTCGACGAGGCACGGGACCGTCGGCTACAACACAGCTCCGAGTCTAACTCGGCGCCCCGAAGGTGCCACTTTCGGGGGGAGACAAACACACGACCCCGCTGTAAAAATAAACCCGGGATGTCCCGTTGCCTACGCCGAGGGGCGGACAGGACAGCGCTGGGTCAAAACACGGCTGCTCCAAAGACAAAAAAAAAAAAAGAATTTATCGAGTTGAATCGTGAGTTTTCCTCTGCTTTACGGCTGCGGGAGAAGAGAGAGGAGCACACGGCCCGGAGCCACGGAACCACAACAGCTCCTCGCCAATAAAACGACCTCAAATCGGGGATTTTGGAACAGGTTGCCCAGAGAGGTTGTTGAGGCCCCATCCCTGGAGGTGTTCAAGGCCAGGCTGGAGGTGGCCTTGGGCAACCTGGGCTGGTGGGAGGTGTCCCTGCCCATGGCAGGGGGGTTGGAACTCGATGATCTTCAAGGTCTTTTCCAACCTAAACCATTCTATGATTCCGTGATTTGAGAGGGGAGAGATCCAGGAGAAGCCAATCCGTCCTCTGCTTTGCCTTTATTATTCCTAAATATATATCTCAGAGAGTCGCAGAAGGAAGAAGTGCTACGGCAGAGCCGGTCTTACCGCACGGAGAGGGTGTTATAACACACCTCTACGTGCCTGACAGCCGAAAACTAATTTTATCAGTGTTAAACAGAAGGATAAAGAGCTATACTATCGTTCTCGATTCCAAAAGGGTTGACTTTGAGGAGCAACTACTCGTTTCACTCGTGGAAATCTCGTTTCGCGTGGAATTTCCTGAAGTCGAAGGCGCCCCACGCTACCCGGGCTTCGCACCCCGCGCTGAAACGAGGGGAGGGGGAAGATGCTCGTTGGGTTCTTGAGCCAAATTCACCGGAAAAGCCCCCCGTAGGGAGCCAAGGGGGCTGCGAGGAGGAAGGCTGAGAAGCAGACAGACAGGCGGGGAAGGGGAGATGAGCAGACATCAAGCGCGAATGGCCAGAAGCCGAAGCAGTGCCAGACCTCGCCAAGGACAGCCACGCGAACCGCTGAGGGGTTTCTCAGCTGTAACAAACAGTCGGACGGAATCGCTGCGCCCTCGAGACACCGGCGCCAATTAAAAGATGTGCGGCACCGCTCAAACGATGCGAATACGCCTCCGCTTTCTATACCGGGGCTGAACAGGAGGGGCGAGGAGGATGCTCGGATCTGCTTTACCTCTGGGGTGGAAGGAGAAAGGAACCGGCTATCTGCCATCCCAGGAGCCCAAAATCGGCCACCCGGACATCTGTCCTACAGCTTCACGGCTGGTCTTGGGGGTCTCCATCGCTGGCAACACCTCGCAGAGCCCCAAAACGCGCTCGCATACGGCAACGGGGACAGAGGTTCCGGCAAACACGGGGCAGTCAATCTGCCCTCAGCAGCACGAGCAAGTTGCCCCGTAACTTTCCAAATACACGGAATTTGGAGGGAAAGGGGCTAAAGGCAACAGGGGTTCACCAAAAATAAACCGGACCCATCGAATTCTTCTCAGCGACGTTTTAAAAAGGGGAGAAATGGGGCCGAGCGGATGGCGGTGCCACGCGGCAGCTGGTTAAACTGGATAAAGGGCGGCTGAGGGAAGGGGCGAAGAGTTGGGGCAAAGAGTTGGGTTGGGGCAAAGAGTTGGGTTGGGGCAAAGAGTTGGGTTGGGGCAAAGAGTTGGGGCAGAGTTGAGTTGGGGCAAAGAGTTGGGTTGGGGCAGAGTTGAGTTGGGGCAAAGAGTTGGGTTGGGGCAGAGTTGAGTTGGGGCAAAGAGTTGGGTTGGGGCAGAGTTGAGTTGGGGCAAAGAGTTGAGTTGGGGCAAAGAGTTGAGTTGGGGCAAAGAGTTGAGTTGGGGCAAAGAGTTGAGTTGGGGCAAAGAGTTGAGTTGGGGCAAAGAGTTGAGTTGGGGCAAAGAGTTGAGTTGGGGCAAAGAGTTGAGTTGGGGCAAAGAGTTGAGTTGGGGCAAAGAGTTGAGTTGGGGCAAAGAGTTGAGTTGGGGCAAAGAGTTGAGTTGGGGCAAAGAGTTGAGTTGGGGCAAAGAGTTGAGTTGGGGCAAAGAGTTGAGTTGGGGCAAAGAGTTGAGTTGGGGCAAAGAGTTGAGTTGGGGCAAAGAGTTGAGTTGGGGCAAAGAGTTGAGTTGGGGCAAAGAGTTGAGTTGGGGCAAAGAGTTGAGTTGGGGCAAAGAGTTGAGTTGGGGCAAAGAGTTGAGTTGGGGCAAAGAGTTGAGTTGGGGCAAAGAGTTGAGTTGGGGCAAAGAGTTGAGTTGGGGCAAAGAGTTGAGTTGGGGCAAAGAGTTGAGTTGGGGCAAAGAGTTGAGTTGGGGCAAAGAGTTGAGTTGGGGCAAAGAGTTGAGTTGGGGCAAAGCGTTGGCTGGTGGGGCGGTGAGCAGGTGGCACTGAAGATGAAATATGGCTTTGGCGCTAGGGAGCTTCCAGATCAATCTCCCGACTGATTTCGTCTACGTTCGTTAGTGACGGCCCCATGAAAAAAGGAAGAAGGAGCACCGCTGGTGCCCACTGGTGCGGCTAGGACGCAGGATGCGGGCAGAAGAAGAGGGAAAACCATCTGAATTGGAGCGGGAGAAGTTGTCCACCTCGGACAACTTAAAGAGACCTAACTGAAAACTAAAATTAATGAAAAGAAAATCGGTTCTGTTTTACCTCAAACCAGGAGAACGACCCAAACGCCGCCGCCGCGAGTCGACGAGGGAGGCAGGAGGCTCCAGGGCGGGCGCGCTGCCGCTACGGAGGGATGCCACGACGCCAACGCACGGGAGTGACATCCCTCCTGGAGCTGCACGTACCTCTGGGGCGCTCGTGCTCAAGGACGCTCAATGAAGAGTGGGGGCCCCACAGATCGCCCAGCGAGAAGAAAGCCGAAGCAGAGCTGAAAGAGCTCCGGCTTCTTTCCACAAACTCGAGGCTGGCTGCTTCCTACCTACAGCTGCACTCGGGAATCACAGAATGGTTTAGGTTGGAAGGGACCTTGAAGATCATTCAGTCCACCCCTTGCCCTGGGCAGGGACACCTCCCACCAGCCCAGGTTGCTCCAAGCCCCGTCCAACCTGGCCTTGAACACCTCCAGGGATGGGGCAGCCACAGCTTCTCGGGGCAACCTGCCCCAGGGGATCACCACCCTCAGAGATGAAATTTCTTCCTAATATCTAATTGAAATCTCCTCTCTTCCAGTGCCACACCGTTCCCCCTCGTCCCACGGCTCCCCTCCCTGATGCAGAGTCCCTCCCCAGCTCTCCTGGAGCCCCTTTAGGCACTGGAAGGGGCTCTGAGGTCTCCCCGGAGCCTTCTCTTCTCCAGGCTGAGCCCCCTCAACTCTCCCAGCCTGTCCTCCCAGTAGGAGTAACACCAGCGGGGGAGCCGTGCGAGTTAAGACAATGTTGGCAGAAGAGAACAGGCACAAACTGGCCTAGAACCAGCTGAGGGTTGCTCAGAGGGTTCACAGCAGCAATGTTTCATAGCAGCCGACGTGGGTGAAGCATTGGTTTCAACATCCTTGACCAAGGTATGAAGCTTACGCTTTCTTTAAGTCAAGAACGACCCAGCCGGCACATCCACTCCGCTTTCCACGGGGAAGCGCCGAGCCAGGTGTAGACACAGAGTCACGGAATTGTCTAGGTTGGAAGGGACCTTTAACATCCAGTCCAACCATTAACCCAGCACTGCCCATCCCACCACTAAACCATGTCCCTCAGCTCAACGTCTGCACGGCTTTTAAACATCTCCAGGGATGGTGATTCCACCACTGCCCCGGGCAGCCTGTTCCAGTGCTGGACAACCCTTTGGGTGAAGACATTTTCCCTAATCTCCATCCTAAACCTCCCCTGGTGCAACTTGAGGCTGTTCCCTCTTGTCCCATCGCCTGTTCCTTGGGAGCAGAGACCGCCCCCCCCCGGCTACCCCATCCTTTCAAGGAGCTGTAGAGAGCGAGAAGGTCTCCCCTCAGCCTCCTCTTCTCCAGGCTGAACACCCCCAGGTCCCTCAGCCACTCCTCGTAAGTTCTTCAGACCCTTCTCCTTGTGCTGCAGACCCCCCACCAGCTCCGTTGCCCTTCTCTGGATACGCTCCAGCACCACCCGTAGAGAGGAGGCAGCGGGAGCCCCAGGTCGCTTCTAAACTCCGTTTTAAGGCTGGCCAACGCATCAGCTGCACCTCAGGACACTTCTCTTGCGCTTCAGCCGTTGCAAGGAAGACCGGGCATCGCAGCAAGCCCAGCCTGGTGAACCCCACCCTCTGCCAAAGCCTGAGCCGGGCACGAATCGTCGCACCACGGGCGAGGAAACCGTTTGCTCGCTCGTCTTCGTTCAACAAATTTGCATAAGAGACTTCAGAGTGCGGCCGGAGAACCCCGCGGATTCCAAAAATAACCGTAGAGGGGACAGCGTGACAGTTAATTACTGCACGTCGCCTTCCTCCGCGGGCGCAGCGGCGGCCGCAAGCTCCACTTACTTGTCTAGGTCCTCGCGCGCTACAGCCATGTGGTAGGCACTCTCCAGGGTGAGGACGCCTTGGAAGAGCTGCAAGGCCAAAGGAAGGTTGGTCTCCACGTTCTCGATGGCGTAGAGGGCTGAGCACACGCAGTCTGAAGCGGCTTCGTGGAGGTTTGAAGACGTCTTGTCTTGTTGCTGCAAGGAACAAGAAGGGGAAGAACCCGGCAGTTATATATGAAACGAGACGGTGATAGAAAAAGTAGGATTTTGTCACTCCTGAGATATTTTGTAGAGTTTCTACAACGCCACAGCCCACACCGACCCCCTCCTTCCTATCAGCTCTGCAAAGCCTGTGCTGCTCTACCACCGCGGACACCTGAGGTCAAAGCTGACCCTCCCCTGTGGGACCCCACCAAAGTCTTCCTTGGGAGAGGCCACCGCAGGAGGGGAAAACTGCCGACCGAAAACCACGGCGGATCGGAAGGAACTAAACCAGGCTGGAGGTGGCCTTGGGCAACCTGGGCTGGTGGGAGGTGTCCCTGCCCATGGCAGGGGGGTTGGAACTGGATGATCTTCAAGGTCCTTTCCAACCTAAACCATTCTACGATTCTACGAAACCGTTGCGCTGCTCGTTAGCCCGGCTGGGTCACGGCATGGTAGAATATCCCGGGTTGGAAGGGAGCCCTCGGGGAGGGAGGAGATGAGGTTTCTCGCGAGCGCATGCGAAATATTTATCCCGGCGACGGTCTGGGGGCGAACAAGGGGATTTCAGGTCCACCCGGTGGATGTGTATAGGGTTTGCGCGATGCTGATTTAACAGACGCTTTAACGGCCCCTGGAGAAGGAGAAGGAGAAGGAGAAGGAGAAGGAGAAGGAGAAGGAGAAGGAGAAGGAGAAGGAGAAGGAGAAGGAGAAGGAGAAGGAGAAGGAGAAGGAGAAGGAGAAGGAGAAGGAGAAGGAGAAGGAGAAGGAGAAGGAGAAGGAGAAGGAGAAGGAGAAGGAGAAGGAGAAGGAGAAGGAGAAGGAGAAGGAGAAGGAGAAGGAGAAGGAGAAGGAGAAGGAGAAGGAGAAGGAGAAGGAGAAGGAGAAGGAGAAGGAGAAGGAGAAGGAGAAGGAGAAGGAGAAGGAGAAGGAGAAGGAGAAGGAGAAGGAGAAGGAGAAGGAGAAGGAGAAGGAGAAGGAGAAGGAGAAGGAGAAGGAGAAGGAGAAGGAGAAGGAGAAGGAGAAGGAGAAGGAGAAGGAGAAGGAGAAGGAGAAGGAGAAGGAGAAGGAGAAGGAGAAGGAGAAGGAGAAGGAGAAGGAGAAGGAGAAGGAGAAGGAGAAGGAGAAGGAGAAGGAGAAGGAGAAGGAGAAGGAGAAGGAGAAGGAGAAGGAGAAGGAGAAGGAGAAGGAGAAGGAGAAGGAGAAGGAGAAGGAGAAGGAGAAGGAGAAGGAGAAGGAGAAGGAGAAGGAGAAGGAGAAGGAGAAGGAGAAGGAGAAGGAGAAGGAGAAGGAGAAGGAGAAGGAGAAGGAGAAGGAGAAGGAGAAGGAGAAGGAGAAGGAGAAGGAGAAGGAGAAGGAGAAGGAGAAGGAGAAGGAGAAGGAGAAGGAGAAGGAGAAGGAGAAGGAGAAGGAGAAGGAGAAGGAGAAGGAGAAGGAGAAGGAGAAGGAGAAGGAGAAGGAGAAGGAGAAGGAGAAGGAGAAGGAGAAGGAGAGAGGAGGAGGAGGAGGAGAGAGGAGGAGGAGGAGGAGGAGGAGAGAGCCAAAGGCAAAACAAAGGAGCCACCACTCCGCGTGCGTCCTTTCACAGGAGAACCCCAACGCCTCTGGCAAACAATCCACAGGGTCCCAACCTGAAGGTGGAAGGAGGGAGGGGAGAATTCGCCCCATTTAAAAAGTGCCGTGAACACATCAAAATGGTTACGGAGACAAACGCATGTCCCGGAGGAGGAGAAGGGTTTCACCGCAGCATCGCTCGGGAGATGGGGGCCCCGCGGGGGCGGGGGAGATGCTCTGCTCCTTCTCCCACTGAATGGCAGCCTCCCATCCCTCGTTAATTAAATCGGCACCACGGAACGGATGCAAATGAGGGATCCCGTCTAACAACGGGAGGAGGAACAGACAATTCCCGCCCTGGATCGTGGGTCCGTGGCAGAAACCTGCGGGAATTCCCTCCTTTCTGTTCCTGCAGTTCGGTGCCCTCCGTGCCGCAGCCACGCAGGATTCTCCCGACCTTCCCCCATTCCTCTTATCGACCTCTCCAGCTCTCCCACATTCGGGGAAAAAAAACAAAAAAAACAAAAAAAAACACCCCAAAAAAACATCTTCAGCAATTAATTTCCCAAGGGGAAAACGCCAGAAAAGGAATAAAATATTATTTTCTGGAAAATCTGGAAAGAAAACCAAACAAAAAAAAAAAAACACCAACTTATTTTAACATTAAGCAAATGCAGTTTCTTCACCAGTGGGCAACTTTTACAGCCAAAACTGACCGATTCGTAAACCCGCGAGGACGCCAAGCTTAACTCCCAACAATGCACTGAGCAAATCTATTTTGCCCGGAACCCCATAAAACGATTGGGCTCCGAGCAAGGACCGAAAACGACGTGTTTCAGACCAAAACCATCTCTCTCTCCATACCTACGTACGCTCAAAAGCGGCAGCAGCGGCAACCCACCGTCACGGCCAGAAACGGTCGTTTCACCGGCGTTAAATCTCTTATTGTGCTCTGAACGTTTTGCCGCCGCCGCAGAAGAAAGAGAAGACGGCTCCTGCGCGAGCTAGACAAGGAATCCGCTTAATAGAGCTCCAAAAAACGACGATTAGTAGGGCAGGAATAAGGAGAACAGATATAAATAGGAGATTAAACAGTCTTTGAACTTTTTTCTGGGTGTTGGCGGGCGTCGTAGCGGGTTTAGGGAGGTGGAAGGATGAGAAACGGCAGCGTGGCAGGAAGGTCCCCGCGGCAGCCCCGACACGGCGACCGCCGCTCTGCCCCGGCCAGTCCCGCAGGAACAACCCCATTCCCGGTGAAACCAGCCCCGGGCAGCGGCTCGGGAGAGATTTTGGGAGTCTTTCCTGTCTGCCCACGCGCAGGGAACGGTGCTCACCCCTGAGCACGCCTTCTCTGGGTCGAAACAGGAGATGGGCAGGAAAAAAAAATAACCCCGAAGGAGCTGCGGAATCTCTTTCCTCCACACAAATAACAAAAAAAAAAGAAAAGAGAACGTGTGTGGGTTTTCCCTTATTTTTGAAAACGCCGTCGGTACTTTCCGCCCATCAGTTTTGTCCCCACAACGCAAATCCTGAACTGAGGATGGAGCGGACGGGAGGAAGAAACCCTCAAGCGCGCTTCGGGAGAGATCAGCCAACATCAGGCGTTACTGATGCGCCGTCTTCACGGCTTCGCGGAGCTCGCGAGGGGCAGAGGAGCTCGCTGCGGCAGCCTGGAGAGGTCCCTCAAGGCTGGACCACCGGTCCTACAAGAATGTTCCTCAGGAATTTATGCATCAACGACCGGGATGAAGGGATGGAGCGTACCATCAGCAAGTGTGCTGGTGACACAAAACTGGGAGGAGTGGCTGACACGCTGGAAGGTTGTGCCACTGTTCAGCGTGACCTGGACAGGCTGGAGAGTTGGGTGGAGAGGAACCTCATGAAGTTCAACAAGGGCAAGTGTGGGGTACTACATCTCGGGAGGAATAACCCCATGCACCAGTACAGGTTGGGGGTGACCTCCTGGAGAGCAGCTCTGTGGAAAGGGACCTGGGAGTCCTGGTGGACAACAGGATGCCCACGA